CAGAGATTCAGGACTTGAGGTCTAAGAATCTGAAGCTGAAGCAGAGTCTGGGGGAAGCCATGGATAAGTTTGAGATGATCTTCGGAGAGAAGGTGGATCTGGAAAACTTTGCTGAGGCTCTACAAGTAAGAACTGCACAATGTATAATGATCATATAATTATAATCTTTGTACTTAATGTATAAACAGAAAGCTGGGCTGGTGAAGGGTTTTGCTTTGCTTTGTATATTGTAAAATCATATGACAATATGGTGGAATTGTATGGGAATGTCCCTCTTTGGTGATGGAGGCCAGGGCTGTTAGGTTTGTTATGCTGACTTGACTGTCCTTTTGAAGGGTTTACATTTCCTGGAGAAGTACAAGTTTGAGAGCACGATTGGTCAACAGATGAAGTTAATAGATTATCTGCAGGCTCTGTATGAGGAGAACAACAGCAAGAAAAAGAAGGTATACGTCTTCATCCCGCACTGCTATAGGATGCCGCTGTCCTTGTTATAGTTGCTGCCTTGTTTCAACTTTCACCTTTTATTTTTTTTTCTCTATTTTGCATGTACTGTATAATCTACAAGTATTTCTTCCTGCATGAAAATTATACCTTATTTCTTATCAATTTTAGCATTCACTTTTTAGTTACTTGGAGGCGTTCCTTACGAAACATTAAATACATACCAGACACTAAATGCATGGTTAAATATGCTTAACATTAGGACCTCAGCATGTCTGATTTAAACACTTGAGCATTATGGATGTGGCACTTGTGTCTCTTTCTTTCTCTCTCTTGCTCTCTCTCTCTCTCTCTCTCTCTGTCTTTTTTTAAATTAAGCATTAATTTAGATTTTGATCAATCTTGTTTTCTTCAAAACCAGTGTTAACTACCCCTGTAAATATGATTTTGATGGATCATCCATAATTTGTTTGAAATCCATTCTGCACATTTAAATTTGGGCAAGCCGGGAAATATTGTGCTTATACCTATATACAACTAGGTAAATGATTCTTGATGAGAAATATTTGCAAATAGAATAAGGTAATAACAAAAATTAGATATTTTTCATGCATGAAAATGAATTGGTTTGTTGAACATTTATCTCCACTTAAATCTTTTCATTTATATTAGAAATAAGATTTATTTGCAATATACATGTAGATCAAAGACTGGTCTTCAGTGTGAATATTGAATTGATTTTTATGGCATAAAATTTGTTTCCTTGTACAGTCTGCAAAGAAAGGGAGAAAATCCTTTAACTTTGGAAAGGTGCATTTCCCGGCCCTGGAGGATCTGCAGAATTCTCTAGAACTGGAACGTAAGAGGAACGTCAAACTGACAGAGCAAATGGACAAACTAAGACAGGAAAACTACAGCCAAGCTCAAGAATGTAATAAATAAAGTTTTTCTCTCGGTTTACCCACAAAATTTTAACTTTGAGCCATCCTTAGCAACTTTTGTTTGAAATTGCCACCTTTGAAGTTAAGACCAAGGTGGGAGGAAGGAAACATTTTTTCCAAGTTAAAGTTACATGAACAACTATTGATAAAAATCTCAATAAGTAGTGAACATATTGTTTATGATTTTTTAAAAAAAGTATCTCCCATCAAGCAAGGAATGAAGGAAACCTGTTTTTGCTATGGCAATGCTTGCAATAACAAACCCAAACATAAATGAAATATATTACCCCGGTATATAAAAATGAATTCCAGGTTAATGTTTTTGAAGCCCCGTTAACATTTTTGGTGCAGTTTTTGGTGTGGGTCACCATGTCCGTCTGTCCGTCTATGTTGACCAAACTTGTCATGGATGATACATTTTATCCGGACCATTACTCAGAAACTATTGGAAGGATTTGTCTGAAAATTTGTACACATATTATTCACCATATGAAGTTGTGCACCTGATATTTTCATCTTGATTGGATTATTATTTTGAATTTTACAGGTGTTTTTTTATTTTTATTTTGTGGTTTTGTCTGGACCGTTTCTCAGAAACTATCGCAAGGATTAATCTGAAAATTTGTACACTTATTATTCACCATATGAAGGTGTGCACCTGGAATTTTCAACTTTTTTTGTTAATTTCTTTGCATTTTACAGGTTTTATTTTTTATTTTAATTGACTTGTTCATTTTTAGGGCTGGGACGATATATCGAGATATCGTGATATGTGTTAGGACAATACGCATATCGATACATATGAAGAAATATCGGCTATGCCCCAAAAAATCTTATTTCTGTTTTTCTTTGTTTATTTAACATTTGGGTTTAATATATAAAATAAATATGCTAAATATAAATATAGATATGAAATAAACAATAATTAACACCACTTGAGTAAAATATTTTTTGTTTTACAATATATAAACAATTATTTTGAATAAATTATTCATTTTTGCAAAGAAATAATTTGTTTATTTCAATGCAAAAAAAGAATTTATCAGCAATCAAACATATCGTGATACATATCGTATCGTGGCTCAAATATCGTGATATGTATCGATATAGAAAAAGTTGTATCGTCCCAGCCCTATTCATTTTGGGCTCATGTATAAGGTTTGAGATATAGAATCTAGAATATCATTCAAAAATACTACAGCTTAAAACTCATAAAAACTTTAAAAAAAAGAAACATCATCAAGTGTTAAAAACAGTTTTTACATTGCACAGAAGATAATGTAATTTCATTTGTCTCTTGGGATATAATGACTGGACATGCATCCAGTTAAAGATAAATTAATGAGTTTGGTGTTGGAAGTTGTTAAGGCATATCTCTTATCAAGCGTGTGTGTTTTCTAATCTCCAGGGAATAAGGCACAAGAATTAAAGATCTCTCTTCTCTTGTTCTCTTAATTGTAATTTATTGTCTGTCAAAGCACTTCATTACTGGATGACCAGCTCTTTATTTTCAAAATGCATTTCAAATTGATATATCAAGATTAATTTGATTTTGTATAATGGTTTTTTTTCAACAATCAGTTTGCAGAGTGACATAACACATAATTGCAATATATTTTTTTAATGCAGAAATAAAAAAAAAATAAAATAAAAAAATTAAAAAAAAAATGTTACAATGGAATTACAATGTATTAGTATTGATGTTTCATTTGGTTGCACCTTTGTTTCATTCATTAAGAAACATGATTAGCAATAATATTTCACTGCAAATTTTTGTTAGTAAATTGTGAACACCTCTAGATCCATAAAGTATTTTTGAATTGGCACCTTCTCTGAAAAACCCAGCGGGGGGTATTTGTCCCTATTGGACAGTTCTAGTTTTAGTCAGTAAAATGTTTTCCTTACGAATCAATTCATTGAGTAGGAGGCAATTCTAAACAAAGAATATTTTATTTTGGCCTAAAAGATACTGTAGAAGTACTTTTTTCCGCGTGGTATTAATTTACGCTATGTACGCGGTCACACATTTTACCATGATTAAATTTGTATAAGCGTATATAATATAAATGTTAGGCATATAGAGACAATCTAGAAAATCCGCGTAATTTTCTACCCGCAGATTAAACAGAAATTGAGATTCCGCGAAATCATGACCCCGTGGAAAAAAAGTACGTCTACAGTAAAGGTAGTCATTTTTTGAAATTATAATAACTTGAAAGTCCAGAATGTATGTAATGAATTTGTCTATTGTTGTAGTGTTGAATTTAAAAGGCCCTCTGAGAGAGAAAGTTGATGGGACCCTTACCCCTCATGATAAGGCAGCCGTGGCATGTAGAACTCCTCTGAAGAGTGTCCCTAGTGCCATCCTGACCCCCCGGGCCCAGCGGTACAACATAGAGACTCAGGAGATCCCGCCCCTTAGGATGCACCACAATATCCCACACCGCTTTGTAACGGGACTCAACACCCGAGCCACAAAGTGTGGGGTCTGTCTGGGGAGTGTTCCATTTGTCAAGAAGGCCTCGAAATGTCAGGGTATGGATGTATTTTATATACATGTATTTACTAGTATTATTGTTGAACTGAGTGTATTTGTCATTTCTTTTAAGGATGATTGTTTACTTTTATTGTTTTTTTTAACTTAGCAATAAAATTAGTGCCCTGGGTTGTAATGTATTAATTTGATTTTCCATGTTTCCCCAGCCTGCCTGATGACGTGTCACACTAAATGTACCTCATCTGCACCATCAACCTGTGGACTTCCTACAGATTACATCCACTACTTTACCTCCATTATGAATAATGTTGAACGAAACAGCAAAAACTTCACCCTGAAAGATACCAACCAAATCAAAATAAAAGGATGGCTAAAAGTACCAAGGTATGTTTCAAGTTCTTCCACACATACCCCTCAGATGGCATGCCAATAAAAAAATCTGCATGAGATACTAAAAAATGGTGTGTTTGACAAAGATTTTTTAAAATTAGAAAGTAGTATTTTAGTTAGACTGATAACAGACTGTTATGTAATTCTTTCTGAGTTTCATGTACTTCAAGTACCGTTATTGAAAGCTGAAAAGAAATGCTGACAAATAAAATATTGAAATACTTGGATGTATTTAAGATTGATCTAAATTTATACTGACTAGGACTGGGAAGCCAGGGTGGGAGAAGCGGTGGTGTAGCCTGGAGAATAACATCCTACTGATGTATCGGGAGGAGTCCGATGCTAACCCTATAGACACGTTCGATCTTAATCCTGCCGAGACTGACGTGACGGTCCACAGCGCCATCAGCTCCGCGGAGCTCCCAAACACCGCCAGTACAGACCTACCGTACGTCCTGAAGGTAGAACATGAACCACTCACCACGTGCTGGCCACGAAGGTAAGATTGTTATAGCAAGTCTCACCTGAAAGTATAAACAAAAATTTTGAAGGATTGTGTGGTTCCACTATTTAATATGTCTGAACTGCATTTACTTCATTGTACTGTTTCTAATATTTCTTTAATGTCTTTTAAACAGGGAGTTGTATCTTATGGCAGTCACGTTCCCAGATAAACAGAAGTGGGTTGCCTCCCTTGAGGCAGCTGTCAGAAGCCTGCAGCGTGTGGATGCTACATTCAAACGAACAGTGAGTTATCTTGGATCTCTAAGTAGTGACTATTAAGTGGTGCATTTAATCTCATACCCAAATCATTTATTGTAAATCTTAAATACTTGTTTTTCTTTTGACAGAAATTACAAGAGTTCCGTGTACTGGAGTTGAAAGGAGATCGGAGGCTGGAATTAAACTGCACTCTTGTTGTTTCCAATCATGTATGTAATCCCAGAATTATATAACATATCATTAAGTGTTCATTGGTTACTGAATCATTACAATCAATACAACATTTTTATTACAATTTTTGTTAATTGTGAACTGGTATTTTATTACAGATGTTGCTGCTAGGAGCAGATGAAGGTCTGTTTGCTGTAAACATCCACAAAGGGCAGCATACCCTGGTGACCAAACTGTGTGGTCTGAAGAACATCCATCATATGGTGTACGCCTCAGGACTGGGCTGGGTCATCTGTATCACAGGTTAGAATAGAAGACATAAGTACATTGTAATAGTTTATGTTTAAAGTTATTCCAATGTCCATCAATTTGAATTTTCAGAAACATGGAAAGATTTATGAAAATAAAAAAAAATCATGGACACTACATGTATTTCAGGAATTCATTAAAAATTTAATGATGAGATACATGTATATAATTTTATATCAGGTCAGGACCGCCATGTTGTGTATATTCACCGTGAGGCGATCAAGGCACGGCTGAATCAGGCGACTGGCGACGAGACGGAACACGTTCCTAACGACAAGATCCCCTCCCTGGTGGGCTGTACGGTGCTGGAGGTCAAACGCGTGTACGAGAGCCTCTATCTGGTGGCAGGATTTGACGACAGAATCACCGTGATGAAATACAACACAGAGCTCAAAGAGTTCTGTATCAGAAAGGTCAGTCTGTCTTATGGATAACAGCAGTGAAGGTAAATGTATCTAGAACAATTATTGAAATTTTTTATGTTTGACGTGCATTGTAGAAACATGTAATATTCTTCAGTGGATTGACATGTATTTGCACATGTGATATTAATTTGAACTACATGGTATATACTGCTACTTCTTTTATGCAGGAGTTGAAGACACAGGAACCCTGCAGCTGTATTTGTCTGGCTGATGACTTTGCCATTGTAGGAACAGAGAAGTTCTACAAGTTTACTCTGGATCACCCCTCTCTCACTGGTAATTTCTCTAGAAAAAAAAGAAAAAATAAGAATTTAATGAATGTTAAAATTTGAAGTTGAAAGAATGCATAGTTTCAAAGATATTATCATGAATTTTTGTTCTCTATACACATTCGCAAAATTAAGAGGTATTTATATTTTTTCCTCCAGAGTTTGTTGACAAGAGAGATAACTCTCTGGCCTTTGCTGCCTTTGGAGCAGCCATTCATAACAGTTTCCCTCTAGCTGTAGTGGACGTCACACCAGAGGGACTCCCCACCGAATTCCTACTCTGTTTCCATGGTAAGGTTTCATGTTACCATTTTTGATCATTTGCTTTGAAACACATTTAAACAGACTAGACTAGATTGAAATCACATATTTATATACTGTAGACTCCTTATTTTTTGCGAGTAATTTTTATCGTAAAATGGTTCTTTAATGCCTACTGTACTTGAGATAATTATTATTCGCAAATGAACGGTTGATCAAGAGAATTTACATAGATTTCAGCATCATGAAAAATAAAAGCGAGTAATTTTATTTTGCGTGTATTGCTTCTCGTGGTAATACTCAATAATGATTTCTTCGCATATAATTAGGAATATACAGTACTCATATACATATCCTTTTTTTCCCTAGAATATGGTTTCTTTGTGGACTGCAATGGAAAGAGAAGCAGGCCAAAAGACATGAAGTGGAGTTGTCTCCCTCTAGCATTTGGTAAGTTGATACCCATGTAATAAATAATTGCTTTGATTATCCAGTTTTACTATATTTTTACATATTAAGTATTTTTTCATAAATCTATCTATGTTTTTTTTTACATGCATATGCAGCATACAGTGAGCCATTCCTTTATGTGGTGTATTTCAACAGCATTCAAGCCATAACTATTCCTGCCAACAAAATGCAAACAAGGTACACATCAACACTGTAATATACAGTATTCTGTATATTGCTTTTTTATACGGTTCAGAACACTTCCAGTGCAAAATACTTTTAAAAAGACAATCATTGGTAAATCAATCTGGTGAAAACACTTTATTCATATATATGCCAGAATTGCTTACTGCTACATATGTAGGAATTCTGTGTCTCAAATTTTCATTTCAACATAAGGATTATAAGTCATGACTTCTGGAAATTAGTCATATTGGTTATGCTGCAGTATTTCTCTTCTTATTTAATGCCTTAGTAATGATAAGGTGATGATTAGGTTTTACTTGAAGACTTTAAAGACACAAATAGAAATGTATGTGTTAAGCAGAGTATGTTTCTCTTTATTAAAGGGGTAAGCAGACCTGCCTGGATATCTACTGCCCGCGCTTGCTGGGGAATTCCATCAAGACGGGAGGAGTGTACGTGTCTACAAACACTGGTAATAGTACACAGATGATCTGTCTGCAGGGGAACGATGGCATCAGTGACAAGGAAAACAGAGCCAGGTGAGAGCTCAGTCTCAACAAGTCAATGCAAGCAAATGTCAACTCAGTCTTGACAAGTCAATACAAGCAAATGTCCACTCATTGACTGTGTACACTCAGTCTCAACAAGTCAATACAAGCAAATGTCGACTCATTGACTGTGTTATCAAAATAATTCACCATGAAGTTCCTAAGAAACCCCAATGTGCTACCTACACACTGTACAATGAGCTTTATTGATCACCTTTAGGGATTTAGAGACAATAAGAAAATTTACTTTCTTTATATATCAATTAAAAAAAAAAATGTTTTGTAGCAAATCTGAGAGACAGAGGTTTGCCAGCCCCAAGAGAGGGATCCTGAAGAACACTCAACGTCAGGACTCCATGACTTCCATCAGCAGTACCTCCAGCGCTGGATCTAATTACTCCACATCTAGTGCCTACAGTGTTAATTCAGAACTTTAAACTTCCATATGATCAGCAGTACCTCAAGCGCCGGATCTAACTTCTCCACCTACAGTGCCTACAGTGTTAATCTAGAAACTTTAGACTTCCATCAGTAGCACCTCAGGCACTGGATCTAATTACTCCACGTCCGGCGCCTACAGTTTTAATTTAGAACATTTGTCTGCTGCAAAAAATAAAAACAAACTCACAAAATTCTGTTCTTATAAAAACATACTCTTCATGTTTTAAAGCTTTACGGAGGGGAATCCAAACTGGATGAATTAGTGCCATTCCTGGTTTTGAGATGTACATTTTATATGCAATGTAGATATAAATACGCTACACTCACAGTCCGCTAAGTTGCAGATGTCGTAGCTGGAAAATAAAATGAGATGTTCCTGTACATACATGTATGATAATTTCTTGTATAAATACCAATCTGTGTTCAATGATCATGTGAAATAATTTATTTTTTATAAGCCAGTTCAGATATTGTGCAATCGATTTCATTTTCTATTTGTGTACATGAAAGTACGAATAAGAGATCAAGCTTTATTGTTATTATGTATGTAATATACATATCTGATAAAAATCAGGGTTGTGTCACAAATAAAGATTTTGATAAACTTTAAAGAAGAGTTTTGTATTATTGACTAATTATTTTTTTAATGTAGCCTTTCTACCCCTGCCATCAAACAAGTATATGAATATAAAAATCTTGAATTTTTATGTAAATAGAATCTGATACGTGTATCCTTGCATTGTGTACTGTTCTTTGCAGTATATCTTCTTTTTAGAAAAACCTAGATTACTTTTGCTAACAAAAATGGACAGATGGCGCAAATATTTTAGCAATCCTTAATGTCTCAACCCACGATTTATCGTAGAAAGCCTTTTGCCAGCTCCGAGAGGAAATTTCTATGTACAACTTACTATCTTTTTTTACTTTCGGTTTGAAGTCATGTGATTTCTGCACATGACAAAGTTTGGCAGCAAAATGTCAGGGAAAAGTTTATTTCTTTTTTGTACTTTTGTAAACTTTTTATTTTGTTTTGAAAGTGTCAATACTCAGAAAATTGCCAGTGTTACATGGGACAAAAGTTCCAACAAGTTTTCTCTGCACAAAGAAGTCGTTTCTGGTTATGTTGCATTAGGAGCTTTTCGCGATGAAATCAACACAACTGGGTAAGTATTAAAGGAAATGATATCAAAGCGGAATTATATTGTTCAGGGATTTTGTTTACTGATGTTTTACGATAGCAATTGATGGCAAAGGATGGAAAATTTTGTGTATTTATATAATTTCTATGCTAGAAATATAGTTATATAAAAAATATCTTTAATAAATCTATTTACTGTAAGTTCATAAAAATTTGATAAAACTTCAACGATTTTTCTGATAAAAAAAATCAATGAATTCTTAGAGAAACCTAGAAAAGCCCACAAAAATACATGTCTATTCCATGTATAATTCTACAAATATTTTTAGCAGTCCGAGCTATATGGACAGGTTATCGGCTGGGATGCTCAGTTGTAGAGCTCCTGAATAGTAATGCCGGGGTCCCAGGTTTGATTCCCGGTCCAGCCATATATTTTCTGTATGCATTTCTCCTTTTCAACTAAATGCAAAAGAGAGATATGACTTAAGTAAGCACTTGTTTGCTTGTTAAACTTCAGTACCTCAAACATTTTTATCTTGAATACCATATTGATATGTGGAAGTGAGTTAGAAGATGCATTTCTATTTTTTCCCCCACATATCCCATGAAGTTCAAAATAAGTAGATTTGACTGTTGGATAATAAAATTTTAAAAATGATTGTTACAGGTGGTCCTATCTCAATGTCTCTACCGTTCAGACATTCCCTAATGAGATCCAGGCTTTCGCTGCAGGCATTGTGGAGGGTTATCTGACCAGTTCCTTGATTGATATGACATGGTATAACACAGTCAAAGGCTACTGTGAGAAACCTTACAGCAAGTACTGCGAAAAGCTCAGGAACTATCTACAACAGAACATGGAGTGGGTCAAAGGTCAGACAGGCAGGAAGCAGGATTACTGGAATATGGTAGGAGAATATTAACCAGCTCTGTTTACAGTAATTAACACTGCCAATGTACATTAATAAGCTTACAGATAGAATAAAATTTTAAAATTTTGAATGAGTGGAACAATGTTACATGAAGATTATTACAGTTACCTCAATTCCTTGAGGCAGAGATGTCTTTACAACTTTTTCTGATTTCAAACAGGTAAAGGCTTTCATGGTTCAGGTTGAAGGTCTGGAAGCTGGATACAAATATCAACAGTCCGGAGTAATCCCTGAAATTACAGGAAATATAGATCCCTTTGGATTGTAGTAAGTATTTCAGTAAATACAGTTAAGCTTTGGCATCTTGAACATTGATATCTTGAATACCATGGACATTTTGAAGTTAGCTGGAAGTTCAATCCATCCACTTTCTTTTTGTACTTTGATATCTACATCTCCATTCCTCAGATATCTAATAGTTTATTCTTAGTCCCCTCAAGTTTCATATAACAAGGTTTGACTGTTACTGTTGCATTTATTAGATGTAAAAAATGGCAATAGTTTTTTAGATATACTTTGAAACTACATATCAACATGATGGGAGAAGTTGCTCTGATTTAAAATGCAGTGTCTGAATTTAAACTTGATTTGCTTGAAGTTGTTTCCCTTTGAAATAAGGTGCACTAGAGTAAGATGAATTAGGTGATGACCAACTGTCTATTTGAATTTTCATTTTGATGACCTAGCACTCTGCAGAGGCAAATGTTGTTTAATTAAATTTACAGCTTTCTGCAAGTGGGAGGTGATTTAGAAGACTTGGAGGCAGCCCTGGGAAAAGAAGACACAAAAAGAGTGAGGGGGTCTGGGTCGTGTTCTGCTCTCATTAAGATGTTACCTGGAAACAAGGACTTGTACGTCAGCCATGACACGTGGAACTCATACCAGAGTATGATCAGAGTTCTGAAGAAATACAGCTTTCCTTATCAGAAAAGTACAGGAGGTAGGAAAATCCAATAAAAAGTGAAACAATGCTTAGACATAGCTATTTCATGTACACTCATACCATTTACATATCTGTATATGTATAAAAGTTTATGAAAGTTTAATTAATTAAACATGATCTAAATCGTAAGAGAGAACCATATTCTTGCTGCCTCAACCATTGTTCTTAACAATCTTGCCTTAGTATCAATTTCAGATAAGAATTAGAAAAAGTGATTTTCATAAAAGATTTTAAAATTATATTCTGTAAATTGTATTATATCTGTCTTCTCTTCTGTTACAGGTACTATCCCAGGCCACACAATAACTTTTTCATCATACCCCGGGACTCTAATGTCAGGAGATGACTATTACTTGATAAGCTCAGGGCTGGTAGGTCATCATTGTTACTAGAGACACAGTCACATTTTTATATCAAGACAAGTATTACTCCTTTCTGTTCTAGTACCCGGTAGTTTCTACCAAGTCAGATCATTGTTCTATGCATTTTTACAGCAAAAAAAAAATTGAATTTACATATATGTTGTTTAAATCTGGGTCTTGCTTTGAGATTTTATAGTAAAATTTTAACTTTTTGTTAAGGTATCATTGGAGACAACTATAGGTAACAGTAACCCCGCATTGTGGCAGTACATCTCTCCTACAAACTCAGTACTAGAGGGTATCAGGACCATGGTCAGTAATTATTTAGCCAGCAGTGGAAACTCATGGGGAGCTGTCTTCACACAGTACAACAGTGGCACGTTAGTATTATTCAACCTTCTTTTGGAGGGGTATTCCTATTACTGAATGTTTTTGTCTCTATAGAATATTGAATATTGTTAACTGCAAAGATTTGTCACTAGGCTAATTCTGAATGAAAATATATTATAAATAGCTGTGGATAGGTATCATGATTTTAAAAATTCTTTTTAAAATTTACTTCATCAGAGGTTCAAGTTTTTTTATTATAAATGTATTGTATTCTTATTTACAAGAAGTTGTCAACTGCACAGTGCATTTCTAAAAAAAAAATTGTTGGTTGATTATATCACCTCTATAAAACTGTATCTCTATCTTTATCTTTAATTAGCTACAATAACCAGTGGATGATCGTGGATTACAAGCAGTTTGTGCCTGGTTCAGCTAATATGAAAAACCTTCTTTATGTTGTGGAACAGATTCCGTAAGTGTTCTGCTTTGTAATATATCCAATAAGCAGGGAGTTCAATTTCTTGGCCATTGAAAAAACATTTTTTAAATTAAAAACTTTCTTAACTGTGGTTTAAATCAATTTATCCCAATTCTATTTTCTTCAGAGGAATGATGGCTGCTGAGGATAAAACAGATTTAGTACTGAAACAGTCATACTGGCCAAGTTATAACATTCCGTAAGTACTGAATCAGTCATACTGGCCAAGCTATAACATTCTATAAGTACTGAATCAGTCGTACTGGTCAAGCTTTAACTGTTTTCAATTTTATTAGATTAGAAAATTTCGTCTGAAATTCAATTTTTCTGACATAGTCTCTTGAACCCTTTATCCATTGTAGGAGGTGGTTGTTGAATGCCATCTCTGGAATCAGGCGACCTCTTCAGCTTAATTTTTGACAATTCACTCATAACATGGTTTGATTTTAGGTATTTTCCATCCATTTTCAATATGAGTGGTGGGAATGAGCTAGTTAAGAAGTATGGAGAGTGGTTTTCCTACAATGGAAGTCCTCGAGCCAAAATCTTTAAGAGGGATAACTCCAAAGTCACTGATCTTAAGTCCATGATTAGTTTAATGAGGTAAGTGTCTCAAGTCTCTTTTACTTCAGATTTGAACCTGTATAATATCTAAATACAAAAACTTTCCTCACTGAAAATTAATTGGATCTTGTTTCAGGCTGCTTTTTATCAGCCCTAAACACATTTTTATGGTAATCATCAGTATTATTTTTATCAGCTAGGACGATGCATGAACTTACTATTGCCTGCTTAGATTTCAATTCAGCTGCCCTATGTGATGGACAGACATGTTCCTTTTATATATTTCTTTGTACATCTGTCTTGCGTTATGGGATAGGGAAAGGGTTGTCTCCCTTCTTTTAACATATAAATAATGCATACTTATGTCTATTTTTCCCCACCCCTAGGTACAATGATTATACCCACGACCCACTGTCTCGCTGTAACTGTACTCCCCCCTACAGTGCGGAGAATGCCATCTCTGCCCGCTGTGACCTCAATCCTGCTGATGGAAAGTATCCCTTTGGAGCTCTGGGTCACCGGTCCCATGGAGGCACAGATATGAAGGTACATGCAAGTGTACATACTGTACAATCACTTATTTTTGCAGGGTGTTAATTTTTGTTGTTTTTTTAGCTCACCTGAGCCGAAGGCTCAAGTGAGCTTTTCTGATCACATTTTGTCCGTTGTCCGTCCGTCCGTCCGTCTAGCTGTCCAGCTGTCTGTCCGTCTGGAAACTTTTCACATTTTTGACTTCTTCTTAAGAACCACTGGGCCAATTTTGACCAAACTTGGTACAAAGCATTCTTGGTTGAAGGGGAATTGAAATTGTTAAAATAAAGGGCGAAGTCCCCTCACAAGGGGAGATAATCAAGAAAAGACAAAAATAGGGTGGGGTCATTAAAAAATCTTCTTCTCAAGAACCACTGGGTCAGAAAAGCTGAAACTTATGTGGAAGCATCGTAGGGTAGTGTAGATTCTAAATTGTTCAAATCATGACCCCCGTGGGAAGGGCGGGGCCACAATGGGGAATCAAAGTTTTGCATAGAAATATATACGAAAAATCTGTGAAAATCTTCTTCTCAAGAACCACTGGGCCAGAAAAGCTGAAACTTTAAGGAAGTATCCTGGTATAATGTAGATTCTAAATTGTTCAAATCATGACCCCCCGGGGAAGGGCGGGGCCACAATGGTGAAATCAAAATTTTACATAGAAATATATAGGAAAAATCTGTGAAAATCTTCTTCTCAAGAAACACTGGGCCAGAAAAGCTGAAACTTACGTGGAAGCATCCTGGGGTAGTTTAGATTCTAAATTGTTCAAATCATGACCCCCCGGGGGAAGGGCAGGGCCACAATTGGTAATCAAAGTTTTACATAGAAATATATAGGAAAAATCTTTGAAAACCTTCTTCTCAAGAACCACTGGGCCAGAAAAGCTGAAACTTGTGTGGAAGCATCCTGGTATAGTGCAGATTCTAAATTGTTCAAATCATGACCCCCCGGGGAAGGGCGGGGCCACAATGGGAAAATCCAAAATGAGATGTAATTTTTCACAGATATTATGACTCAACAATTCTTCATCCATGAAATTAAATTCCCACAAACACTTTTCCTCCCTCAAACCACAAAATTTGATTCCACGAAAATATGTGATTTAAAAGTATTTTTCTCAATATTTTATCTGTGAAACATTCTCTTTTTGCTGTAAATCACTACTTTTGAATCATCCTCAGTTAATTTTATAGATTCAGTTTTGATCAAATCTCAGTCCTTAGGGTTAGGATGGGAAACAGCAGATGATCAAACTTTTATATACATTAGGTATATATTGGGAAAAAAATCTGCTGGTGAAGAACAATAGGCCATTATGACTCAGACGAATATTTTTGTGGCTCAGGGGCCTGTAGTTTAAAAATAAAATCATTTTAACTGTAAATAACCTTATTCAATGTTTTCAAAGCGGCAACTCAGGTTATACAGTATAACTTGGGTAGCTATTAAATTCATTCGTCAAATATACTTTAATTTCTTTAAAACTCTGTAGTAATAAGTTTATGAGCATTAATTGTTTGTTGTTATATATGCAAATGTACAGGGTGTTTATTTGAATCAAAGCAATTGGCCTCTTTCTTTTACCAGCTGACAAACAGTGCCATGTTTAAGGACCTACAGTTTGTGGCTATAAGTGGACCCACATATGACCAGCTTCCACCGTTCCAGTGGAGCCTGGTAGACTTCCGAGACACCACCCCACATATAGGACAGCCAGACGTGTTCAAATTTGACCCCATCATGTTTGATGGAACAACAGATTTCAAACCATTCCAGAGATGAAATGAATTTATATAATGTGCAGGGTGGGAATGAACTATTTTGAACAGCTGTTGCCATATTATTTTCCACTTACTATACTTTAATTGTCAGTGACAGCATGGTGGAAATATTCTTTACATTACCATTAAAATGAAAACAAATACTTTTTCAAGCAACTTGAGCCAAATTGTATATAAACTTGCAAATAATACTTACTTTTTCTAAAGCTGGTACATTTCTTAATTTGATTGTTGATCTCAATTATGATGATTTCTTATGTGATATTTGTATATTTTTATAAAAGTTAAAACTTGAATCTTGATTTTATTTCAGTAATTTAAATCTAACTTATTTGCCTGATCAAATTATGCAACATGAAAATACCGAAATATAATAGTACATGTACACATGTACTTTCCAAATGAGCATACAGTATGTTAACTACATCTATTAGTAACACATTAAGAGGGAATTTTGAGTGAACCGAACTTCTAATCAGCATCAAATGCCATTTACTGAAGCAATGTACTAAGATGACATGCCAAATATCTGTAGTTCTCTTTTCATGTAAATGTTAGTTGAAAACCCTCTGAAGTTGGCTGGACTTTGCTTTGGACACATTTACAGATTTGCTTTCTGCTTTGTGATACCTGAATCATTTATACCTGCTGAATATTTATCTTTTACTTCTTATTAAAACCATGATCTTTTATCAATATAATGTCGCCAAGCAAGCCACTTAAATTTCTTGAATATAGGCTTTTTCATTAAATAATATGAAACATACGGAGTATGTACATGCATCAATAGTACAATATTATTAAATGTTCTTAATCCTATTTTATGTGAATAATTATACACTCGTTAACACTTCATCATAGTTCATGATAAATACGCAGGCGTGAAGCATTTTAGTTCATGTATCTCATGAATACTCAAAAATTAAATGTTTTTATATTAACATTTTTTTCTGATGACTTACCAAATTTTTCTTTGGTCAATCAAGTATTATATTTGAAAAAAAAAAAGTTTGCACTTTTACTTCAATTACCTCAAAATGGAAATGTTACTACATGAAAATGTGAACTTTTTCTAATTTGCAAAGAATTTTAAGGGAAAATATTTGGCAATGTAAATATGAAAGTATGAACAGAGAGGGGGGTAAGGGTGAAAACTGACTTATTAGCTATAGAAACAGTCAAACTGATTTTGCACATCTTGCATCCTTATCAAAGTAATAGTATTGGTATCTCATGACATGCACTAGTAAGTTGTGCAGCTCAGCTGCATGCTCTACTCGTACACACCATAAATAACATAGGTATGATTACAGTTAGTATAGTGTCCTGTTTTGCAATTATGATTTTAAATGCAATTTGTTATTTAACCATTCATGTCTTATCAAAAGACTACTGAAGCGTTAAAAAAAATGCCAGTTCCTATAATTTTTGTATATAGTGAGCATGGCTTTTTCTCTATCTTCGCTTTCAATGTGTCACTTCAATGTTTGATAAATGGTATCTAGCTTATACTCTTCCTTCTAAGCTTCATGATTTATTATCATTTTCTTGATTTTGGTCATTTGAAAGGGGGTAGAGGGCTATACCTTTAAACCTACTCTGTGTTTTCCCTTCAAAGTAAAAGTTTGAAATTTAAGAACAGTCTCTGTAGATCTTCAATGATAACTGTTTAGATTATGATTTCTAAGTGGCATTATTATATCAATAGAAGTGGTCAATATGGCCAGGAGCCAGTTCTTTGCCATAGGGAAAACAATGCCTGCTGTGTTCATAATGTGCAAAAATGGTCATACTGGATTGTAAAACTGTAGCAAGTTGAAGGATTTAATGATGAATTTTAAAATAATGTAAGCATAAAACATGTTCCCATTTTCCACTAGAATTTATTTCACAAAGTGAACATTTCATATGATGATAAAATGATAGACTGATAGTACAACTGAATAAGTTATTTGATGAAAATACATTATGTACAGAACAATAAAACTCCAGTGTGAAAAGCTCACACTAAATCAGGGAACAATTCAATGAACGATTCTTCCCAGACATTGTCTGACAGACCCCCAGAAAAGTCGCTGTAAGGGGAACCTGCTTCACTGTAGTCACTGGCAATACCAGAGTCACTGCCCGAGAGATCATCCTCCTTAGACAGGAGGTCTGAGCTGAGACTTGTCTGGGATAATTTCCTCTTTTTGGAATGTTTTTCCACTGGAGGTGTGAGCTCACACTGAAGTTTCTTGTCCTCTTCATTCGGCAGTAATAACTGTCCATTTTGTGAAACTTCATCCATGGAATCGGGAATAGCCTGACGATGGAGGTCATCCTCAATTAGGCTTTCAATGTCATTGAGAAGATCAATGTTTATCTCAGGTAACACATTCAACACTTCTTTTTCTAAGTCCACAAAATCCTCAATACTCAGAACGGGAGTATCCCCAGAAACTGTCTGAACACAGTCTTGCTGCAAAGAAAATTCCGTTTTGATATCTGGAACAACACTTTCAGAGTCTGTTTTATTTTCAACAGAAGAAGAGACACCTGAATCGATAATGACCTCCATCTTAGGCTCAGGGGTGAGGGGCTCGATTTTGTAATACTCGTGATCAAATTTAATCAGTTCATTGATGGATTCCAGTTCTGCTGGTGACGGCCCCACCACTGAAGTATTGGGTCCAGCTTGTGTATCTTTTCTTGGCTTAATTTGGAGTTGGCGTACAGATTTGACATTAGCATCTGTAGCTTTGTTGGTGGAACTTGCACTTTTGTGTACACAGCCAAGTAGAGACTGAAAATAAAGAATGTACATTTAACAAAATTGAACAAATTATAAGAAATAGTCACAATGTAAAAGTTTAAATAGTATGTTGATAATGAAGGCGATGCTTACCACAGAGTTAGGACGTAGGGCATCACTGGATGAGATGGGAGAGAAGGCTGTCCCCGCGGCAGAGAGACAAAGGATGCTGCAGATCCCGAGGTTTCCTCCTCCATCTTAACCAATGACACGTCCGTCCCAAGGCGCTCCTTCAGCGACGAGTTCTCATTCAACAGCTCACTGGATCGCTCCTTAAGACTGTTGTTTTCTCTTTGTAGACGTTTGTTTTCTTCCATTAATTTTGCGACTTGTATTTCCAGGTCAGACATGATGGCTTTCTTCCTATCACGAGCTGTCTGGGCTGCTACTCTGTTTTTCAATTTTCTGAAATATAAAATAAATGCTATACTATTTCAATAAATATAAACACTGCATCATACAAAGTGTGTCTATAAGAGGGTGAAGTCTCTCCATATGTTACATTGTTTGAAGTAATTGGAAAGGGGGGGGTGGTGTTTCAATCAAGGAAGTATAATCTATTGTATAAAAATAAAATTTATGAAATATCAAAATAGTTACCTTCTCATGAGTTTTTCCTCTGGGGTGAGATGGGTCAAACGACGCCTCTTCCTCGGAGCCCCATCCTGTTCGTCAGGGTAAAATTCCATGTCCACAGGCGACTGAATGGTGACCGGCTGAGTTTTCCCTGGGACAGTGGCTATAACGATCGTTTTCGGGGTCAGTAGAGACATTTCAATTTCTTGCGGTTCGTTTTCCGTTAAACATTGCAGGCTGTTTGCCGTCGTTGGGCTAGTTTGGATATTTTCGGTCTATGTCATTGTAGTCGTTGTTGTTCTGATCGATGCAATAATCCGGAAGTGCTGATGTGTCTCTTCTTCTATGGATTTCGCGAAATGACGTCAAATGATGCTCAATTTCGATTGGTCAGCTAAATATAGAATGACGTTTGGCTTTTTTCCATAGTTCAAGGTCTATCTGATGCAACTAAATCTTATAGGCGGATCTAACTTTTGTACTATAATTTTTTTTTAAGGTCTCTCTAACAAAAACAATATTTCCCAGTCACTGAACTCATAACTTGACACATGTTGATCAGTCTTTACCTGTGATATCACATATGGAATTTTTTAGGGCTGAACATGATAACTTTGGACTCATTTATTGGGGGGAGGGGGGTTAAATCTATGAACAATGTCACTGGTTCACCACAAACCATGATTCCTAAACAACACTAAAATTCAAGTTATTTTTTTTCTCTTCATCCATTTTTTTTCAAGTTTTTTTTTTTTTTTTGCAACTTTCCTTTTTTTCTTTTTAGAAAATTTGTAATCATATGTAAAGGGAAAAGATATATATGGAATTAGGAATTAAACCATTTTTCTGCCATTTCAATCATAGGCGCTTGGTTTTAGGATATAGTGCATTTTGTGTATTATGTGTATAATGCAATACAAATTGTACCAAGATACTGTTATTTAGGTACATGTATTATGATGAAATGTAATAGGAAGTTAATTTAGCAACAGCTGTGCTTATTGAAAAGGCTAGAAAAGCATGTTTTAAAATGAAAAGAATTATTGGATTTGATAACCCATGTAAACTTTTAGAAAAACTCTTTGATGCTATTGTACTTCCAGTTCTTCTCTATTGTAGTGAAATATGGGGAGTGGATCTCTTATCCAAAGATATTTCAAATATTGAAAATTTTCACTTCAAATTTATTAAAGACATCCTTGGAGTGCACTGCAAAACATCCAATGCTGGTTGTTTAGCGGAACTTAAAAGACTACCACTTTGGTCCAAAATTTCCCTCTCTAGTATCAAATATTGGAATCACCTGAAAACTTCTGATTCTTTGGCCTTTAAACTTTACCAATCCACAAGTAACTGTAATTCTTGGACTAAGAAATTATTTTCTATTCTAGATAATCTTGGATTCTCAAACATTACAAAATATACAGGTTCCATCCAACACCTTTTACCAAACATTAAACAAAGAATCATTTTTTGCACTCAGGAGCAAACGTCAAAAATCTTTGGTTCAGAAAAACTTGATTTCTTCAAGAAAGTATACTCAGGAAAAAGAAGTCCTTATTTTGATTTACTTCAAAAAAGTGCTGAGAGATCCTCTCTTAGTAGAATTAGACTAAGCGCACATAAACTCTCTAGAAAGTGGTAGATATATTTCCACATCAAGAAATGAAAGATATTGTAATGTTTGTAATACTGGTGTGATTGAGGATGAAATACATTTTCTTTTTCAATGTAATTCTTACTCTAAGCTAAGAAACACATTCTTTAGTAATATTTATAACATAACAAAGAAAAATAATAATTTTAGCAATGAGAAATATATGTTCCACTTTTCTTATTATATGTAAACAGTAATATACAAAAAGTCTTGAAAGTTACTGTTAAATTTATCAGAGACTGTTTTGAACTTAGAAGTCAATTACTTGACAATTTTTGAAAAATATGTAAACATTTAATGATGTTCAGTGGGCTTTTGCCAATTATTGTAATTGTGTTTGTGCCAATAAAGTATTTGTATTTGTATTTGTGTTTTTTCTAGGTGTGTCTGAATACCCTCATTAAAAATTTAATAAATATTTGCTGATATTAGCACGTTTTAAAAATGTCATATTTACAGTAAAAATGACATTTTTAAAACATGCTTATTTCAGTGAATTTTTATGCCCCGCCATGAATATGGCCGGGGTGTATAGTGTTTGTCATGTCCGTCTTCCGTCCTTCCATCTCACTTTGCGTTTAGCTCATTTCAAAGCTCAGTTTAAAAAAAAAAAAACAAACTATGAAAGATTTTTTCATCAAACTTAAAAGGATGATAGATATTGATGAGAGCTATGCAACTGCATTAACATTTGCTGACCTTAAGCTTGATCTTTCCTTTGACCTTGACCTCACTTTTCTTAAATGAATGTTTACCTCAGTTTTAAAGATACTATTCAAGATAGTGTTATCAAACTTCATATGCTGATAAATACTGATGACAGATATTCAAAAGCGTCCCATTTTTTACCTTTACCTTTCCTGTGACCTTGACCTCACCTTTCTTAGATGAGTGTTTAGCTCAGTTTTAAAGATGCCATTCAAGATAGTCTTATCAAACTTCATATGCTGATACATACTGATGAGAGCTATTCAACTGTATCAACTTTTTTTGACCTTGACCTTTCTTTTGACCTTCACCTTAATTTTCTTAAATGAGTGTTTAGCTCGGTTTTAAAGAAACCATCCAAGATATTTTTATGAAACTTCATGTGCTGTTTCATTCTGATGATAGCTTTTTAACCGCATTAACATTTTTTACCTTGACCTTTACTTTGACCTCTCTTTTCTTTAATTGTGTTTAGCTCAGTTTTAAAGATACCATCCAAGATATTTTTATCAAACTTCATATACTGATACATACTGATGAGAAGTATTCAACTGCATCACCATATTTAACCTTGACCTTTCCTTTGACCTCACTTTTCTTAGATTAGTTTTTAGCTCAGTTTAAAAGGTACTTTTAAGGTATTTTTATCAAACTTCATATGTTAATACATATTGATGAGAGCTATTCAACAGCATCAACAGTTTACTTTGACTTTTCTTTGACCTCCTTTTTCCTAAATTTGTGTCAAACTTCATATGCCGATACATACTGATGAAAGCTATTCAACTTTTTTTACCTTGACCTTCCTTTGACCTTGACCATACTTTCAACAAATTGTGATTAAGTAAGTTTTAAAGAAACCATTCATAATATTTTTTTTCAACATCATATGCTGATACATGTTGATGAGAGCTTTTCAACTGCATTAACATTTTTTCCTTGACCTCACTTTTCTTAAATTAGTGTTAAACTTCATATGCTGATACATACTGATGTAAGCAATTCAACTGCATGACTATTCAAAATATTCTGAAAATTCATACACAAATTTAAATTTTCATGTTGCATTTACTGATACATGTATACCCTCGGCGGGGCATTCATGTCCTATGGAAATATTTCTAGTTATTTTTATTTTAATGAGAGTATTCAGGCACACCTTGAAAAACACATAATACACAAAATACACCATCCTGAAACTAAACGCCTGTGATTTCAATGATAAGATTCAAACAACAACAGTTTTGTTTACAAAGCTTTTATTGAAAATTAATAATCTTTTCAGCAATAATTTGAATGATCCTTAATTCTTATTGTATTATTATCATTCCTCATTCCACTGCATAATCTCTATACTATGTACATACAAAAAAGTATACAAAATCCCAGACTAGCAATACATGTTCTGTTCATAATCTTTCTTAGTCTTATATATGAAACATTAAACATCACTTATTAATAAATCAATATTTCATTGGAAGACAATCTTGCTGTAGATAAAAAAAAAAATCCTGATACCTATCACAAGGTCATGCTAATATAAACACATTTTTTAATCTCTATTTCACTGAAGTTAAATTAATATGGATTTCATTCATCTAATACTTGCACCAAATTTTTTGCACAAACTATTTATTAAACTTCATTAATTAACAGCTTCCTGCACTGCTCCAGTCTAAATTACAAAAGATGCTTATAGCTACGACTAGCTTGATTGATATAAACTACAATGCTTGAGGCTAAATTATAAAGGATTAAAAAAATATATCAACATTTGAAGAATTATAAACAAATAAACAAACTCATAAAATAGATCCATCAATGTTCAATATATATTCAACTATTCTGATTAATCAATTCTAAATCAGAAGAAATACAGGTAAATTATCTTTATCTAAAACCCTGAATTTAATTTATTATGGTTTGTTTTTTAATCGGAGAATGCAATCCAACTGAAAACATTATTGATTCTAACTAACAGAAGATCAAAACTACTCCATAAAATTATAGTTCAGCTGGTCCACCTTAAAGTTTCACCATCTCAAACTTGGACAAAAGAGAACAGAGGTATTTTATGGAAGGAAGTTCACAAGGAAAAAAGTCTCCATTACTAGTACTTTACATGTGCTGCTTCCACTAAATTTTTGAATCATATACCAGGTACTTATCAAACAAAATTTCACATGGCCATACTTGTTCATTTATTCAAGTGCAGATAATATTTTTGGCACAAGATGGTTGAATAAATAAGCACAAGATTTAAATAAACATCTATTTTGTGCACCCTTCAATTATTTATGGTTCTGATATAAAGGATCTATTCAGTGACTTAAGTATGTAAGAGAAATTATATAAGTCAATAGTTATAGTCTTAAACATGTTACTAAAATAATGGTCACTAGACAATGGCTGTAGCATAAGAATTCAGATTCTGAATATCTTAGTTTCATAAAATAAGACTGTCTGTCTGTTCTGGTTCAAAAGATCTTTGTTAATGTGTAATATTGCAAAATAAAAAAAATTAACATTAATATTATCCCCTTGCAACAGATTGGAATTAAGGGACGTAGTAAGGCAACTATGTATATGTGTGTGTGTCTATGGGTGATTTTCTGTCCATTTAATTCTATGATAATGTAAAGAAAAATCTGTTATGAATATATACAGTACATAAGTCTTTTGATATTCATCATAATCTGACCATCACATTAACTTTACTGATGTGTAGCTGTAATTGGACTTTAAATCACTCTCCCTGGACCATGCAATTAGAGTGTTAGTGACATCTCTTACAAAAATTATCAATAGAAAACTTCCCAGTTACACTGTGCAGTCACTTTCAGCAAAAATACAGCAAAACTGATAACCAATTCTAATGAAATAAACAGCACCAGTTACAATGTGGTAAAGTGTAATATTCTATTTATACCGCCAGTATATAAAAGACTTTCTTTCCATTTGGTTGCACAGTCCTTGTAAAATAAAACTGATATTTGGTTTAGATTTTAGAAGTTCTTGAATCTGCTTCACATACATATGTACAGGTATCTCAAAGTTATTTCAATTAACTATGTGCCTAAGTCGCCTTAACCTCCAACAAAATGAAAATTTAGTAATCACACAATGACTCCATATGAACACAGTTCTTTAGAAGACTAGATTTCTCTGTTATTTAAGCTTCGTAGTATGAAAACTACATGATAAAATATTCCTCTATCTACTAATTAAGAAAAAATAATTCCTGTAATTCATTCAGCATTATACATTGGCATTTCAATTTAATTATAATGGTATATGGCACCTATACATAAAAGAAGCAATATTAAGCAATTTGACCAACTCATTGTTCTAATCTTTCAACAATCTGTACACAGAAATCAAAAGCAAACATAAGATTGTCACTACTCCTGTGGAACAGTACCATACATAATACAAATTGTAAATATTTTATGGTACCCTGTAATTGATACAGTATTTAGGAAACAAAATGTGCACAGCACATGTACAGCTTATGTCATATCATATACATGAGTAAATGACTAATAGACATAACACAGATACAAGTATGTGTATGACATATACAAAACAAAAAGAAGATTGGAATGTCAATATTAATGAGATTCTGATTTTTCAGAAAAATATTAATTACTGGGATTTGCTTTTTAAATTTAAATACAAAAAACAAAATATAGGAAAACAGTATATCTAATTCATCCTTAAAAATATTTCTTTCCAGTAATAAATCGGCTGCCTTTAACAACAGAAATCACATTTTAAAAATATAAGGGAAAATATTCTAAACATATCAATAATATTTCAATCGCAGTATTTAAGAAAGTGTCTGTGATTCATTTCTCTCAAGAACTGAAAACTATGCTATCACACCTTATTTAAGTAGCTGTAAAGAGCACGTCTAACATTTGTTTTTTGAGGAGTTTCCCTGGAGCACAGAATGCTGGGATGGCATTATCTCCCCTAGAAGCCGCTGTCCCTGGTAAACTGGTGCTCCACATTGACCCCTCCCCAGTGTAAGATCTGCTTGTCTGGGTTCTCCTCCCATTTACCAACATCAAGATGAAGCTGATATAAAAGAAGAATTGTGGTTAATTATTGAACAGAGAACAATTCTGTTCCTTTTAATACTATTGCAATATTTGTTGTAGTAATAAAGTCACACACAATTTAAGTCATGTGGAGTTACCTTTTTTGTGGAGTGTTTATCTGCCTCTTTTTTCTCCCATTGTTTTTGTTTGACCTGTTCCTCACGTATATTTGAGGGGCCACATCCCCACATCTACAAGTTAAAAAATATCCAGAGTTTTTAGATATTGCAATATTCCATTCTTAAGTCCATTAAGCAAGTGCCACACCACCTTTAATTTGAATAGGAATACTGTATGTATTATTAACTAACGCTCATTCTTGACTAATTGGTTTTCAAGTCTGACAATTTTACTGTCAGAATGAAGAAACAATGCCTATCTCAAGAGCTACTGACTCTATATATTTCTTTACCTCTATTTTGTGGAGAGCACAGTTCACTCCATAGTGTTCCACAGAGTCAAAATCTGCCGGAATAAATAGCACCAAAGATTTGCCATCTTTACCCATATAAATTCCTTTACGAAGATCCCGTGAATACTCATTCCAAGTCGCAAGGGGGCCACTCTCTGGAATTAAATGTCAATCAGTAAAATAACTTTCAAAAATTTCTTTCAAAAATTTCTTTCAAAAATAAGATATTGCAAAAAATTGGAGATCTACAGTTTTGGAATTGCTGACAGTATCATTCTACTTTACATGCTTGAGGATTCTGATAAATTTAAACTCACTTTGCATGACTCTAAATATTGGAGAGACTTGGATCAACATGGTGTCCTCTCCTCCAAACCGACTGGCTCCCTCTCTTTAAAAAAGTCATACATTTTATTCAACAGAATGTCAGATTTTTGCATCCTGAGACTACTTTTTGAGGTACCCTCAATATTAGCATATCTAAAAGGAAATCAGAATGGACAAAATAGTTACTCCCCCTTAAAATCTGTTGGTATTCAAAATTTTACATGGTTGCCTATGTACTGCAAGTTGTTTTAATTCCACGGTGTTAAAATTTCACGATTTCTTAAAAAGTATCAATCGTGATGGTTTTAATTTCACGCTGCAAAAAATTAATATGAATATCTCAAAGTATTTTAATGTTTTTAAAAACTAATAATAGCATTCCCGATGTGTTTAATTTCGTGGAAAAATGATGAATCGCAAACATAGTGAAATCAAAACCATCGTGATTATTTGCCAATCTACAGTATTTGCACACAGAGTCAACATTTACCAGATTTTCCATCATGTTATGACAACTTACCTCCAAGGTTTGTCTAGAGCTAAGCAGTATGTGTTTCTTCCTTCAAATGAAACCAAAGTAATGGTGGGACCATGATATGATGAAATGTGGTGATGAAATCTGCAAAGAGATAGGTACTTCAAAGCACATTTATCAATTTCTGGATAGCAACTACACTTACAAATAATGACTCACTTTCAAACTTCATTTAAACAAACTTGAAAAACTTTTCAAAATCCTCACAGTAATCAAGTCTTAGAACCTGATTCATGCAGTAATTGTACTTTACCTGTTATGGGACAAGCCATGTTCTCTGCTGTCGTACAACAAAGTCCAGCTCTGGCACCGGGTCAGCTGAGCCTGTAATAGTGAAAACACTTACATGTAGTTCAAAGTTTCACTTTATCTACTACTACTTAGATATTCAAAAGAAAATACATGTACATACAATCATGTAGATCTGAATGTGAGTGACAGAATGAAATGTTCTCCAACTGGTCTGTAGTAAAGATATCAATATTGACTGTCAAATGAAGAAATGCAAACTCTTTACTCTTCTGTTATTTTTGACCAATATTTCTTCTGGGTTGTTAAGGAGGAGCAAAATTTATTACCAGAAGGAACTGGATTCCTAGTGAGTTGACAGTAAGTTATAGGGAGGGGGATTACTCCCACTAGTATTCTAAGGAGGTGGTACAAGTTAAGCATGGAAGTAATTTATTCTAATTGATCTCTTGATAAATTAATTTGAATTCATAATGGGAGAAAACCATCCCATTAAGAATGTAGACAGTGACAAACTGTAAAGGAAGATAACTTGTACCCACCAGTCTCCTGATTATGTGGAAGGAGTTGAGGAGGGGGTTCTTTTCGCTGGATTTCTGTTTGTCTTTTTTCTCCTTTTCCTCCTGATTGTGGGTGTAGGACTGGGGTATAACTGTGGTCAGCATCCACAGTAGTCCCATACTCATCACATACTTATCCTCCACAAAACGCTCCAGCTGGGGAACTTTGGCAGTCTCCTGTAAAATAGAAATATATCTAAAAATTTCAGTTCATTAAAAATTTTGATGTTTTCAGGCATTTGGTATATTAATAGCATACTTTCGAAATAAAGATCGATGGGTAAATCTTCTACCACAATTTATGACACATGTATAAAATTTGATTTCCAATCTAACTTCACCATTGTTCACATTATTGAAATCATCAAATTTCAATTTAATCTGTATCTTTACCTGTACCAGTCAGATACAATTTTCTGATTAAATCAGACTACTTCCCCAGTTAAAGAAAAAGATATTGTAAACAGTTGCTTCAGCAAAATTTATATGTTACCATCTTTTTTGCCACTATTCTTTAACATAATAACAGCCCAGCATCATTTAAGTGACCAAAGATCTCTAATTTTTACACTGTATAACTAATTACATAGTAAGTTTACAACTGCTTAAAATTTCCCTACATAAAGAGGATAAAATATCAAAGCTCTATGGACAATCTTAGGATTTAGGACCTTACAATTAATGCATACTCAATCCCCCACATAAATATTAATTGTGATTGTCCAGTTAAGACACAGACTTACCAATTCTGATGGCATCTTGGATCCAGTGAGGATCTGGTACACCCAGTTATGTACCCCACAGAACAGATGAGGACTATTCTTCTTGGACCAGGAGGTGAAATCATCAAATGTAACCCTCTCATTTATCCCAAACTGAAAGTACAAAATACAGCTTTAGTGTTCAAATTCACTCAATTCTACAAGAATGGGTATTGTGAATTGTATTTATTTACCAGGGGGTACAAGACATTTAGGATTATAGGACCGATACAATTTTTTATAAAGCTTGCAAAATCAAACTTCCCTACGTAAGAATTTTCCAAATCTTTAACAGATAATCTAATACATGTTCTATAATGTTTATTCCTTAACCAAAAAGCCAGGAAAAGTGAATGTGATTTTGAGGAGATCAACCTTACCATTCCCTGGACCACCCCCTCAAACAAGGAGTCATCTGTGCTGCCTGTGGAGTATGGAATCATGGAAGCTGACAGGGTCAGGGCATAGGACACAGCAATCATCTGTAGGGCATCTACATAAATAAACAACATTTTCATAGGGCATTATATACAATTATTGTTAAGGAAGTAAATACATACATTATCGGTACTTATTAAACATATCTTAATAATATGAGATTCATAAGCCCACCATGCCACTAGAGTCCATGATTTTGAATAATTTAGCTCACAACTTCCAGCTGAGGTGAGCTAAAAAGTGCCATATAGAACAATGCAAAGAATAACCATTTTTTCATGATAGTGTCCCATTAACTAAAAACATTAACTTCTACCTTGTAATCTGCAATCATAATCATCATTTGCATAAACTACAAAATGATAAGAGGGAAATATTGATTCCTACCTTCCTTAGTAAGGTGATCCTTTCCACTGGCAAAAAGTTTGAAGTAGTACTGCAGCTGTGAGGATTCATCGTAGAGTTTCAGTAGCTCCTTGCCAGCCTTGGTAAACTGTTCTTTTGTGATTCTCTCTCTGTCTCCACTAGATGAATGTCGAATCATCTGTATGTACAGCAGCTTCCCAAACTTGTAAAGTGGTCCATGAAAGGCATTCTGAAATTAATTGGCATCCATTTATTCCATTATGTCTGTATAAGACTATTGATGATTTACCTTGAATCTTATGGGCCCAGGATTTGGATTAATACCAGAAGTGGGAGAAAAAACACTTCAGGAAGCTAAATCTAAAAAGCAATTTTCTGAACATTCTGGCATAGGGTGAATATCTCTCTCTTAAATCCTGGTATATATCTAAATTAATTCTAAACAATATCTCAGCATTTTTTTTTTAAATAAACTGCATTAGGGACACTTCTTAGATGTGAAACAAAGAATTATAGTAGATATCTTCACCCTGAATGTAGCTCAGGCACTTAGGTTATGGACTCTCCCTTCACCTTTTTTTTTTTTTTTTTTTTTTTTTTAATTTTTGTGTTGTCTGAAGAGCAAAGCAACACCTGAAGATTATTTAAATTAGACCCACTTTTCAAAGTTGTTCCTAATGTGGACAGACAGTACATATTAGTTTATATGAGATGGCAGTCTGTGATATTTTGCACGTGCACTGTACATGTTGTAATTTTAGCCATCAGACTTTATGAAAAAAGAATCAACCTAGGTTTAAGTACATGTAACCTTAATCTTTGACCTACTCTACATACTTTAACTACTCTTACAATTATTCTATCTTATGTCTTTTGAATTTTGAGATGCAGAAAATTTATGACATGTTAGGTCAATTCACAGGGTAAATAAAATTGGCCCACTGGTTCTTGAGAAGAAGTCGAAAATGTGAAAAGTTTACAGACAGACAGATGGACAGACGGACTACAGACAAAATGTGCATGATCAGAAAAGCTCACTTGAGCTTTCAGCTTAGGTGAGCTAAAAAAGCGTAAAATGTTTGTCAACTGGAGTGTATATGTAAAATATGAAGCAGATAGCCCAATCTTTTTTCATTATGACCAAGGACTTTGTGACAGACTGACAGATGATTGAGATTTATGGTCCCCCCACTTTCAGAAAACTGGATGAAAATTTCAAGACAGAAAATGAAAGTTTTTCTTCAATGAACCTGACAATCTGAAAAAAAATCCTATTATAACTTGATCTCTTCCATGCCTCTACAGTTCATGAGTTTAAAGTATTAAATAACTAAACAGTTTGATAAAAAAAAAAAACCCAGCTTTATCACCTCTCATTAGAGGACACTGAACTTCCAAAGGTCATGACCCATCAGATCCCTCTCTCACTGATCTTACATAAAGGCCCAAAGCATACTACAGGGTAATATTTCCCTAAACATACTGGTAGCTTTTTAATCATTTTCACAAAAAAAGAAGACTAGAGCAAATTTCATAATAATACAAAACATAAATTTTACTCTGCACAAGAAAGATATTTGAGAAGTGTGCAAATATTTTTACAGTTCCTCATTTATCATCCCATTGTTTTGGGCCAGTAAGCTACAAACATCCCTTTTTTGGGCCAGTAAGCTACAAACATCCCTTTTTTGGGTCAGTAAGCTATAGTTCTGGAAGAAATATTTATTAAAAAAAATGTTTTAAACCTGTTAAAAAATGAAATTTTAATAAAAGTAAAAATAATGATAAGAATTCTCTAAGGAAATTACTTTTACTTTAACCATATCTACAGCATAAAACATCTTTTTATTTCTTGAATAGTCTCAATAATCTGTTCAATTAGAAACAGATTTATTTGCATGCTTATGGAAGTCATAACAACATTAGGTATAAGATAGGTTTCTATTTAGCCTGTCAAAACAAAATGATCCTAAATCAAAACTCAACAGATCCTGAATAAAACTCACCTCAAAAGTAGCTCGACTCAGTTCTCCTGGATGTCGGTTCTGTTCATCTGCCGTCAACTCGAGTTTCTGGAAAAAATCACAAAAATTCATCTTTCTGTCAAAAAAATAACAACGGAACAACAAGGTGGTCCATAAGACTAATTAATAATGCTCTAACCATCCACTTAATTCTTGTTCTACTATAATTAATTAACATTGCCTATGTGTATGCATGCATTTAAAAACTTAGGATACAGGTAAATACAGATCTCTTTTGTATAGATCACTAAATTACAAGTGTATATTAATATTTTTTTCACAGCATCATACTGTGTGGCAAAGGTAGAAAAACCTCCTTTCAGTCACATGTGAAAACGGATTTTGTCAGTTCAATAAATGTGGCTGTGACAGATCTTGGTGCTGAATGCAGGACGAAGGAATAACATGGAATCTTTCACTATCAAATCAATACTTCATTTCTAAAAGCATTAAAATTTAATTTGTTAAAGGATAAAGTTCCAAAGTTTGTTAACACGTGTGAAAAAAAAGACTTGTAAATGTATCTGAATGCATTTGAAACGTTTATTGTTTAGTTAGACATCTGAAAAATTTCCATGTGTCAACAACTGTCCGAGGAAGGAAATGACAAATCTTTTATGAACACTGAACACAGTTTTAGTTAGCAAAGATCAATAAGCTGGCCTATAAACCCAGAGTTATATGACGCAGTTACAGTAGCATGGGAATAACAAAAATAACACTTATGTGCCATGAAATAACTACAGCAGTCTATCTCTATACATGATCAATTTTTCCTTGTCAAAACAAAACTTCAACAAGACACCTTCACACCAAATTGTTTCCAGTCCCTGTCATAAAGGATTGTCTATATTAAAATAAGCATGATGAATAGTTTAAATTTGAGGTAGGGTTAGAAAAGAAATATTCAGGACAGTTCATTGACTGCCTTGTAAAACACCATTCCAAGCAATGGACCACTCTCTCTTCAGTAAATTAATTTTTTTCTGAATCATTTTTCAATCAAAAAATTAAAAGAAAAGTTTTTACTAGAAAAATTCAATTTAACGAATTGACTGATTGAGCTGTGAAAATTAAAAAAAAAATCACTCTTGCTAGGTTAAGTTAGGTATACATAAAATAAACAAGTTTTACGAATGACTTATGCTTTTTCATAACAGATATCACTTTTACGCGAGAAAAGGACCATTAAGATTACTGTT